ATTGGAGCCAATCTAATAGCAAAATATTTACATGGGTTCTAGCAACAGACTCTAAGCACTTTTGAAAGTTGTGAGGGATTAGAGGATTTTTTTGTCTATTGCATCACAGATCTATGCAAACTATTCTGTCACATGCCAAGACCCCTTCCTTATTAGTTTATTATAGTGAACATGAGTCATGTAAATAAATGTACTCCTTTCAGGAAAGGAGTTGTGTCAATCTGGTAGCCTGCAGTTAAATTTACTGCTCAAAGATGTTCGTAAATAAATTAAAATGGAAAAAGAAGATAAATTTTTATTTTTGTTTAACAATGAAATAATTCTCTCCTCTAGCAGTGTTATCATTAGAAAAGTTGTTCTATTCCATTTCCAGAACCTGAATTAAGGATTTCAAACAAAACCCATGCAGTGTAATAACGAAATTTTATTCCAAAATTCATTAGTTTTCCACTGAGATTTTTTTTTTTTTTTTCCCCAGATTTGGAAACAGTAGGGAATTTAAAGTAAGGCTACAATGCAGACTGGTTTTCTTTTCTAGCTTTACCAAAAAAACCTGCAAAGAGCTTAATGATATACGTAATGAAAACAGGTTTTTCCTTTTTGGAGTGGATGTAGGAGTAGTCACTAAGGGATAATCTACTCTGTCCAAGAGTATTTGTGACTTGTTGTTTTGATGGTGGCCTTTGTGATAACAAATAAACAGTAAGGGCAAAAAGGGAGCATGAAAAATTTCAACCATCAGACAGCACTAGAGGGTGTAAAGGTTAATTTCTTCAGAATTGACTGTGAGTCATAAGGGGTAATATTACTCAGGGAAGTGGTTTACATCTACCTGTTAATAGAGCCAAGTGTGTTACATGCCATGTGATCAGAGCGTGTTACCAGCAATCCAGTACTCTGGTGTTACGAGGCTCCAATAGTCGCGTTACTTCAGTTGCACATCTATACCGTGTATGTGCTAAGTTCTTTCTTCTTTCGTGTTTCATCGGAGAGCCATGTGAGACACTTACGCCTTTGTGAAGATGCCTGAGCAGCCTGTTGTATATAGAGAACAGATTTTAATTTACTTTTTAAAGCAAAACTGGTGATTTTCACCTCTCTGTTTCATTCTGACATCCTACACTGTATGCCCTTTAATAAGGGTCCTGTATGTTCATAGCCACCATTTATTACATTCAAATTTCAGGCACTGGTCACTTAAGTATATTGCACTTGCTTTAGTGGGAGTTATCCTGGTGTTCCAAAGATATTTTTTTTTCTTGTTGATTTATTGAATTAATGGAAAAGTGAAAAAAAAAAATCCAAATACATTAGAACCAACTGCCAAAAGGTGAAACATGAACACATGACAATGCTTGTCATGGATGCAAGATGCTGTGACATCAAGTTTGGGGTAACTGGGAAACTGGGAAGTCAAATGTGGTAAGACCTGTTGAAATAAAATGCCTGTGTGTTTCAGCTGTGAATGGGCATTTCATGTTCCCAAACCAGGAAGAGTCTGCTGCTGCTTTCAGTAGCATTTGAAGTAGGTTGGGTGTGGGATGGAATTGTAAGGTCATGACAAAGAGCCTAATTTCTAAGCCTTCCTTTATGTTTATTCACATAAGCACTGGTTACTATTTTCTAAACAATGCTATACATTGTGTCAAGGGGGGGGGAGGGGAAGAAAAAATCAGCGAACTTCTCTGATGCATGAACTCAAACAATAGATTTGAAATAAACTGTAACTGTAGATCCTCGACAGAAAGAAACAGAAGTTGTTCAGATTGAGCAATGCTTTTTGCTACCATGTTAAGAAAATCTTGAGCATTTAAAGAAACAAGCTGATTCACCTACCATTCTATTTAATAAATGAAGCCTGCAAATATTTTCCACATTAATCGAATTGCAGTTTACACAAATCTCTGTCTTACAGTGAACTGTTTAAAAATGTTTTTGTTCTTGCTCAATAATTCTGAGTAGGATTACTTGTCTTGCTAAATATTGAACCAAAACTCATACATTTTTAGTTGCAATTAATCCCAGCAGTTATACTGTGCTAGCAAAGAATGTGAAAACAGATATATTCACCAGTTTGCACTCTTGCAGGCATGATACTGTAACACTTTCTAGGATCTTTACAAACTCCTTTGGGAATGCTGTCTGCATGTTTCATTTAGATAGCTGATGTATTTTCCTGTCTTTGCATGTTGCTAGCAACTGCAGCATTACTTATGCAATTTGATGGACCATGTGGCTTAAGCACAACCTAGTGGCCTTGCCAGATAAACAGTTGAATGTTGCTCTTGAGCCTTCGGTTAGCAGTTCTAGCTTTCCCCTTTCCAGAAGTTTTTTTTTTTCAGATAAAAGCCAAATGGATCAAAAGTGGTAAATACAATGCTATTTTAGTGGAATGTGAACTACTGTTATGGAAGAGATTCCCTCTTTCCTCTTTTGAGGTCAGAAAACATGTACTCTCAAATACTTTTTTTTTCTCTGTATTCTGTACATTTTATTTAATGTGTTGGTTGGTATAAGCCAAAATGTTTGCTAATTGCTCTTTTTTATGTTTGTACCATTGAAGCTATACAGTAAAGCAGTTTACTATTTTATGCATATTTAGCTTTATAGGCACAGAAGAGAGTGATAAGCTTTTAGTATTAATGATTTATTTTATTTTGGGGAAACAAGAAATATAATTTAGGAAAATCTCCATGAGAGATTGCAGAGTGCATTTCTTCTGCAATATTCTGCATTAATACCAAATGGTGGTTGTCTTTTAAAAAATTGAAAAGCTCAGTGCAGAGAAAATATTCTAAAATTATCTAAGTGCTTACACCACTATGTTCCTATGTGTTTATTTGAAATTCTCTCCAACAGAGGTTATTTGTGAAGAGTAACAGTTAATAAAGCTAGAGAAATTCTGAATGTCTGTGCTCACCTGATCAAAACATACACATAAATCTGAAGATACAACTTTGCTCTGGTCTGCACCGGAGGGTGACACAGCCTTACTAAGCCATGCTGTTTCTAGGTTATACTTCCTGCAGCAGGGATGCAACGCTTTGTAAAAACCAAATTCTCTGCTGCACTTTGAGTACTCATGGTGAAGAGTGCAGTATGCAGTTGGAGAAGGTAGAGTGGAATATTACTGCTGCTGTGGAGTGTGGCTCAGCCAGCACAGGCTGAACTCCTCAGGGGTGTTGCCAGTGCTCACCAAGGATGTCCTTGTGAAGCTGCTGTTGTGGTGTCTCTTTTCATGGCCAGTTCCACCATAGATTTTGCAGGTGACCAAAGCAATAAGAATGTAATATTTTAGGTGTCTCATACAATTCTGTTAAAATCCTCCTCATTTCATGTAGCGCCTACCAATTTGAAAAAATGCCTAGGGTTGGCTAAGCTATAGGATTCACCATGATGTTTGATGAGCTGTTTTAGTGTTTAATTATTTTACCTGTTAGATTTTTGACTCCTGTTTCTAGTCTGATGATCTAATTTCTACTCCTAGCCCTTTGTTAACAAACTTCTCTTCATGTAGATATACAAGCTGTGATCTTGTCATTCCTTAAATTCCTCTTTATTAAATGAAATTGATTAAACTCCTTTTAAGATCTATTTTCCAATCCTTTATTTGCATTACAGTTGTTTTTCTGATTCTTCTTGATTTGTAGACATTGATACTGAATTATTGTTGCTTATCTAAAGATGGAATTAAATAAATATTTCTATCCCTAAATGATATTCCCTATTTTAACAAGAAAAGAACTCATTAGCCCTTTGCTGCAGTGTCATACATGGGAGGTCGTGAATACTGGATTATTTGCCTTCTCTGAATTGAGCCCTCAACCTACCTTTTGTTTCTAGACGTACAATCTTGCTTTCGATTGCTTGGCACTCCAAGTAACCCACTGCTCTTTGCATTTATTGACTTCCCTCTTCTTGTTCCCCACCATGTATCATTTGCAGACTTTAACATTGCAATGGGCATGTTGTCTCCCAGATCATTAATTATTTCACAGGAAAAACATCTGACTCTGTTCCTTTCCTTTTCTCTGTCTAAAGCCCCATGCTACACTTTATTACTAAATTGTGTAACCCTCTACCCATATCTTCTCTGCGCTTCAGAGGTTCTTTCAGCAGTTCCACTGTATTCAGTGGCCATTCCTTGTGTCATGGAGAGGGACAGGTGACTCAGCCTGAATTGGCTGACAAGTGGTGATGTCTCAGATGGGCCTTTCCCTGTGAGTGTGGGAGAGAGGACCAACACTGAAGATATGTTACAGACAGTAACGTGTCTCTTCTAAAGCTGTCTGAGAATGTCGCCAACAGTCAGCGTTGACAGTTTGACTCCATATTGCTGAAGTGCTTTGGCAGAGGCAAGAGAGACCTGGAAATATTCCTGTGAGCTTCTGCTGCCTTTGACTTGGGTGTTTGTGGCTAGGAATGAGTCTCATCTCACAGAAGTGACAGCACATGGTAGTTCCAAAACCACCTATCAGAAGAAAGTTAGCCACCAGCTTTGCTAGGGATATTACATGCTTTAACAAGGAGCCCCATTGGTGTGACAAGGTGCTAGGTAAAGAGCCAAGCAGTCTGTAGCATCTTCAGCAGATAGCCTCTAATGCCTAGCTCCGGTTTGGGGCTGGGAGCATTTGCAAAATGTGTCTTAAATTGAACTGCCAACTGTAGTGTTAATTTTAGAAGATCTTCAGAAATCTTCCATCTAACTAGCCTAACTTCAGCAGCCCAGATGGGGTCACAGCATAAATTGCTGTTCTTGGAGTCTTGTGAATAATCAGGTTAGGGAGAAAATATGCTTGAGTCACCACAACAGTTTTTCTAGCAGGATAGGGGACACAAGAAGAGAAGGGGAGAGAGTACATCCTCTCCAAAGCTGTTGCATAAAATCCAATCTATCAAATGTCAGTAGTAAAACTGGAAGACAAGCTCTGGAAATTTCTTAGGATTTTAATCAGAAATCTGTAGAATTGTGAAAGCCATCAAACTTGGGTGAGTATGAATATTCAATAAGCATCCATTATTTCAATTTCACATAGAATGTTTTTTTTATTGTTCAGGAAATTCAACAATATTTAAAATTATTTTTACTGATTATATTCTCATTATCAGTCCATCTTTAAGCATACTCAAGAAGGGATGGTGGCTGGTCTATATAATCATAGTGGGTTTGCTGGCAGGAAACTCTGGAACCTGAGGAAGAGATGGTTGAATTTGCACGCAGAAATGGTCCTACCAAGCCCATTGGGACACTGTGGAAGGGTAACAGGTTGCAAACTGACACAGATTCTGAGTGAGAAAAGAGTTGCTAAAATAGTACAATTGGTGTTCATCACCATCTATTAAAAATTGTAGGATTCAGGGATGTAAATCTTGCTGTAAGAGCTGAGAATTCAGTGGAAAAATGCTAAGTTAAATGATTTTTAAAAATTGAGAAACTGCTTTTTATATGAGTATTTGGCAGCAGAATGAAACTTGCCTGTCAATATGTCACCAAGGTTATTTTTGAAAGGAGATTAATTTAAACTTGCCTATTTGAGGACCCAGGCTTTGAGCCCTGGGATCTGTTTGTAGCATGATCGCCATCAAAACTAGTGTTACTGTTGCGTGTGCTTTCTTGTGGTAGAATAGTCTGATGCTTCTGTTCAAGCTAGCGGTAGTGAACAGCTCATTGTGTCTTGTGGTTTTGGGAGGTATGCCTCCCCAACAGTCAGCCCCTAGAGTTGTATCGGCTTAGGTTTATTTGGCAAACCAGCTTTTTTGAGAATTTCAGAGCCCATGCTACCAAAATAAGTGTAATTACTGCTCCAGCAATTAAAATGAGGTCTCGCCAAAAGAACTCAAGACACTTGATTGGAAGAAGCCTCTTACAGATCCCCAGCTCATTCCCAGTTAGCTGCCTCAAGGTCTTCATCCTCATGGGAGCTGGTGTTGCACATCTGATGTTTGCAAGAGAGGGCGCGGAGATGTCTTCTAACCAGAGTTTTAGATACAGAATATGACAGTCACAGTTCCAAGGATTGTCAAACATTTTCACTTCCTCCAGGCTGCGCAAGTGGTCCAGGGCACCGGGAGGAACCAAGGTCAGGCTGTTGTTCTGTAGATAAAGCCTCTTGGTGTTAACAGGCAAGGCAGGCACTTCCGTCAGCTTCCTTGAGCTGCAGTCTATATGCCAACCCTTCATTTCTCCCAGTGACTTACAATTGCAGGACGGAGGACAGACTTCAGTTTGGGTCATGTGGAACAGCAATGATACTGCAAATCCCACAACAGGGATGAATTCTGTCTTGTTCATGCTTCAGCTACCCAGAGAATAAGAATAATAATCTGATAAGTATGATTCATTAGCATGTTTCCAAATGCAGAGCTACAGCACAGCTATTTCTTTCTCAGGATTACTTGTGAGGTTTAGGTTTTTGGAAAAAGATCTTTAGCTTTCTGTATTTCCCACAGAGCCATTCTGTCTGATATTAAGTAGCATAAATGCAACTGGGAGAGAGCATGGTGCTTCCATTTTGTCTCTAGTTCATTGCTTTTCCTTCCTAATTGGACGAAATATATTATTGTTCAAAATTCTGGAACAGAATGCCACCAGGAGATAATGGTAAAATTAGCTTAGGTTTAGGCAAAGATTTTGATTCAATTTCTGAGTCTTCATAGGTCTAGTGTTAAAATTGTGTGTGTAAGTCAGTTTTCAAAATTGAGCTTAAGAGATAATTGTAAATGTCTAAAAACCTTCTTTCTGAAAATATGAAGATTCTAACCTAAAGTACATATTTTTGTGGCGAAAAGTTCTTTTTTTGCTGCCTTGTAGCTTCATGCATCTCTAAGGACATACAGTTTAAGATTTGGATGAATAGAGAATTGGAAATTTTGCGTATCTGGTACTGTTCGTCTTTTAGGGATTAAATAACCATGCTTTGGGCTAACAGGTAATTATCCTTTTGCTATGTCATTCCCAGTTCTGTAGAGTCGATCCCGCTAGACTTCCATCTTAGTCCCTTCTGTTTGGCAGTTTAGAACATCTAAAGCTATTCCCTTCCTGTATTTCCTACTACTTCTGTGCATTTAAAAATACATAGTTAGTCTTGGGACCGGATAGGAATTTGAAATACAAACTCCCTTGCACAGGTTGGGGAATTTCCAGTCCTGAAACCATCTTTCTTTACGGTTTTAATATATCCCATAATTAAAATATATTTTCTTTTTTTTTTTTTTTCCCCAATTCCTTTGCAAGAAGTAAGTATCAAAGGAGAAATATCTGACTGCATATTGCCTTGGATACTGCTTGGAGAATAGCAGATACTGTAAGACGAAGCGTTGGGGTTTTATACACTACACACTTAAAGAAAATTCCTTTTTAGCTGAAGAAGGTGAAAACAGCTGTATAACTCTGTTTGTTTGCAGGAACGAATTAGAAGCACATTCAATATGATTTTAAAATCGGACTGGACAAGGCCCAAGAAATAGCAAGCAGGTAGGAGAGACCTATTAACAAGAACAAATTGTTGTAAAGAGTAAAAGAGGGTTTCATATACTAAGATAAGGAGCTCAATAATTAGTATAAACTTATGTAGAATGGAATTTTGAAAAAAAATTCTTCAAAATAAAGTTTTCAAGTGTAGCAATATTTTAGAACTAAAAAAAAGTTTTAGTCTTAAAAAACTTAAAATAAGCTGAGACTATTTTTTCTTAGGAAGTTTCACTTAATAAAGACTTAAGTTGTAGGAAAACTGGATTGATTTTGTTTTAAATCAATTTGCTTCAATTTACTTACAAGGATTATGTAACTAGCTTTTCAAAATAAGGTTAGACAGCTTTAGATTCCTATATAGAATCATAGAATGTTTTGGGTTGGAAGGGACCCCTAGAGGTCATCTAGTCCAACCCCCCTGCAGTGAGCAGGGACACCGCTAACTAGATCAGGCTGCTCAGAGCCCTGTCCATAGGTATTGAAAGGCCGTAATCAGGTCTCCCCGCAGCCTTCTCTTCTTCAGGCTGAACAAGCCCAACTCCCTCAGCCTGTCCTCATAGGAGAGGTGCTCCAGCCCTCGGATCATTTTTGTGACCCTCCTCTGGACCCGCTCCAACACGTCCATGTCCTTGTGCTGAGGGCTCCAGAGCTGGACACAGTACGCTAGGTGAGGTCTCACCAGAGCAGAGTAGAGGGGCAGAATCCCCTCCCTCGACCTGCTGGCCACGCTTCTCCCGATGCAGCCCAGAGTACGGTTGGCCTTCTGGGCTGCCAGCGCACATTGCCGGCTCATGTCCAGCTTTTCATCCACCAGCACCCCCAAGTCCCTCTCGGCAGGGCTGCTCTCGATCCTTTCTTCACCCGGCCTGTACTGATACTGGGGGTTACCCCGACCCAGGTGCATGACCTTGCACTTGGCCTTGTTGAACCTCATGAGGTTCACACAGGCCCACCTCCCTAGCCTGTCCAGGTCTCTCTGGATGACATCCCATCCTTCTGGTGTGTCAACCGCACCACTCAGCTTGGTGTCACCTGCAAACTTGCTGAGGGTGCACTTGATATATATAGCAAGATACAAGGAATCTGAACATAGATTCTTATATTTTAAATTGGATTAATGCTACATAAAGTTACAAGCTTCATCACAGAGAAGCTGAAATATTAATCTTAACAATCTCCCATGTCTTTGTTAGCAAGTAGTTTGAGTATCTTTGGTCTGAATCTAGATACTCATCTCTTATTTTTCAAAAAGTCTTCTAGAGCTGTTTTTTTAAAAGTAGACATCTTAAAAGGACAAACTATGTCATCTGGCTAAAAAAAAAAAGTTAAGCAATATCTATCGAAAAGACAATCTCTTCTGATTTCATCTATAAGCAGCAAGAAATTCCAAATCAAATAGAAATAAGAACTGTGGCAAAGAATGCAGAAAGGAAGAGTTGGTGAGATGCCTGACTGACACTTACCCTTTTTTTGTTCCCTCTTGATTCCTTTTCCTCTCCTTGTGGAGTGTTGGAGTACATACAGCAGCTGGAGCTGATTTTTTAGAGTCAGTAAGGAAATGTGTTGAAGAAGATGAGCTTTTTCTTACGTGTCATAGGAAACCATTGCCATTGGAAGATGCTATATATGGTTGACGTGTCATGGCATATCGTGCTGGGGCATTTTTGTATTTTCTGAAGACAAGAGGAAATGCTTTTGAATTTTTTTTATTGCTAATATATTTTTCCCATTAAACCTGACAATGTCTGGAAAAGCTACAATGACTCATATGAAGTCTAATGGGTTTTTTCCTCAGCTGTAATAATCCACAGGTATAAAAGTTAGCTTGAGCTTCAGTTGCTGACACATGCAAGATACAAGGGAGCTAAAGTTAGCTGATGTAATAGACTTGTGTTTTAGCCAAAGCCAGGTGTGTTTGATATCTGCCTTTCCCCTGATAAAGTAAAATTTATAAAAACACACCATAGTATCAAAATAACTTATGTTAGTCAGATGAGATCATTAAGGGAGAGAGAAATATTAATGCCACTACATTGAAATAGTGAAGAGTCACCAGTCACCATACAGTATTTAATTCTGGTCACCCATGTTCAAAAAAGATTAAGCTAACAAGTGAGAGGAAGGTTTCTGTGATGATCAGGGATTTGGAGAACCTATCTTGTGCGAAGAGGCTTAGAGGAACCTGTACCCTGCAGTGTGGAGCAATGCAGAAATACCTGAGCCAGAACGACTCGGGCAGGTAGGTGGCCCTGACACAACTTTGGATGTGAAGAAGGGTACATGCGTATTGATCAAAGGATCAATTCCTGTTTTGGTTCTTGTGATATTTTGTGAAATATAATTTCTTTGTAATATCCTAGTTTAGTTTGGAGTTTAGAAATGAGTTCCAGAATAGTCTGGGAAGGTGCACTGGGAAAGGCTCGCTGTCACTGTTAGCATGGCTCCCCTTAATCAGCACAGCCTAGAGGACAGGGACAGCCTTGGGCACAGATGGAGCCTTTCTTCCCAGTCATGAGAGCTGTGTATAGCTCAGAAGAGGATTGTGATCCTGCGAATTTTCTTCACTTAAGTTGCTGAAGAATATCAACTGCTGAATAATAGCAGTGTGACATCTTAGAACATAACATGCTCTGTGTACATTTGGCTGGAAAGCCAGTAATTCAGGATGATACAAGTTTATAAATAAATGTGTCTGTTCATCTAAACAAAGAGTGCCATGTTTGTATAAAAGAACACCCAAAGTAGGCTTTTGTTTTCACTTTTATTTTTTTGTACGTGAGATTTTGGAATACATCTGAAATAAGTTTTCCTTTGCTTTAGCTACCAAACACGAACACACTAGAACTAAGATAGCAATTGACATTTGGAAACCCAGCATGTTGCCGATCTGATGTTTAAGTCAGGCTGGTTCTTGTTTAGTGTGTTGTTTTGGGGACAGGCTTTGAGCTGGGTTCTGCACCTGGAAATGAAACCCAGGTGAGTTTCAGATGTTGCATATGTGCAGTAGAGCCCTGCTTCTGAGCTGTCGTTTCTTTATAACATGCTGTTCTTGAGAAGGGAAACTTCTGACATTTAAAATTATTCTGTTAGCAATTCTTACTCTTTAATTCTTACTTATATTTAAAGTACTTTTCTTCATTAAGTCTAATCAATTACCAGTAGCCTGAAGTTTGTTAGAAAATTACTTAATGTGTATCTCTGCTCTTGAGTATTTTAAAAGGTAACTTAGAAGTGCTGGAGGGAGAAGACAAAAATATTTCAAACTCTGTTTGAATTTTGATCTTTTCTGTAACATGAGGAAAGTGATTCCTCCCTTGTTGAAATGAATCGTTCATCTGCCTGTCAGATGTTCAACAGCTGGACCTGTGAGTGGACTGCTAATAATGGGAAGGTCTTTATAGCTTAGGGACGGTTTCACTAGGCCATGGATTTCATAAATGTCTGTCTTCCCTCATGCCCGTTTCCTGTATCACACAATCTATGCCATATGTCTTAAGGAATGCTGCCACACAGAATAAAGTTTTTCCTGTTATATGGTGAAATCAAATGCTGCATCTTTTTGCATTGAAACAGAAGCAAAATATTTGGAATCCTCTGGAATCCGTTCTCAAATTCTGTGCTATGGGTAATCCTCACAAAGGTAGTCCTACGTTCCTCTGGCCGCTGTGTCACACGCGGTTGGAGAAGTAGCTGGTCATGTCAAGTCAGTGAATCTGTTACTTGCGATGAGAATCACGGGCCAGTTTCTTCAGCTCTGTGTGAATGTATGCAGGGAGTATCTGGCAGAAGCAAAGTTTAAATGCAATGCATTTGCATTTATGATTTTAGGGCTATAGCTTTTTGTAGGCCAAATGAGGATTCTTCGCTTAAGAGGATTTATTAAGAGTCAATTTGGAAAAAAAAAAGTTATAATCTGGTATAATCTTGTTACAGTCTGAAAACATATTTTCCACAGAGTGAATCCTTTTGAACTGTTTTGTGAATGAGAGAGGCTCTGCCTCCTCTCAGCGGGAAGGTGTTTCTGAACACTCTTGTTTCCCAAACAAAACCCCTCTCACTACCTTACTCCCTGCAAGCACGCTTCTCTGGATTAGTTTTCTTTTGAGACCTTGACTTTTCCAGTCAGTCATGCGGGTGCTGTGTCTGATTGCTTACACAGGGAGAAAAAAAGAGTTGAAGGGAGTCTACTAGTTTCCTTGCAGTTAAGAATAAAAACTGCAAGTTAAAGATAAATGTGTGGATCAAACACATGACCTGCTAAGAGGAAATTCAGGCAGAATACACTGTTATTTTTTTATATATGGTTTTAAGGAGTTACAGCAATTTATTGCTGTCAATGACCTGTTCTTGACCTGGAAAGACAGAAGTCTTTCTCAAGCACTATTTCCATTTCTAGTGCTGAAAAAACTTGCCACATCACATTGTCAATAGACAGCAAAAGTGATTCTCATTTAAGTTCTATCACCCTGAATAAATCTGTTCTTTCATATTTTCAAATAGGTTAGTGAGAACAGACTAACCAAAATATTTCTTTATAACTGGATGTGAGTCACTGTTAATTAGTGAATTACACAAATAAGAAAAAAGAAGGAGAAAAAAAAGATTGATCATGAAAGTCATTCACACATCAAGGAATATTGCCTGCAGAAATGAATTAAAGAAAATCTGTGGTTTGTCGCGCATCAGAAGTTACTGTCGCCCCAGGGCCAAAATATTCCTATTATCTGCTGCACCCTAGAGAACTAGCCTGCTAAAGCCTTTTGAGTATTTCTACATAGGAGGACTCTGAATTTCATCCTGTCCATATTCCGCTTATTGTATTGTTGCCCGCTGCACATTTATTGTGGTTTTACCTGATTTAATTCATTTCCTCGGAATACTATTACACAGGCAGATAAACTCTTGCCATTTAGGAAATTCTTGTACTCCACCCATTTTATCAAAGAATTCTTTCTGCTCTCACCCATTCTCATAAAGAATCTCCCTCCTTGCTGTTTTCAGTATTCAACACTACATAGTTGTTGTGCAATCATTAGCTATTGCTTATCTTTCCACTAGGTGTCATTCAAGTTATTTTTTTGTTAAATGTTGAGCATACACTGTCTGAATCAACCTTTAGATATAATTTACCAATTAAAAATAATTGTCTGAAAGACTGAAATATTATCTTCTTTTAGGATTTTACCTTTTCCATAGCCTCCAAGATAAAAATGTAGTAGATGTACAAAATGTGTGTACTAAGTGATCTGTCTAAATCAGATAGCTTAATCACCTCTTTGTGTTTTATGGAACTCTTAGGGTCTTGAGCCTGTGAAAATAAATATTCATAGACAATTTGGATTCAAACTGTCCTCAGGAAAATATTCATACCCTTTATGCTAAGTTGTGATAGAGCACATGTGGGGAAGCTTCTAGAGACAGAATCTGAAAGCATCATTAGAAGACCACCATCAAGGCAGTATTTCCCGCTACAAGACAGTGCCTAGGCAGTTCCCTGCACCCCGGATCAGTTAATCGGCTCTGAGCATGCACCAGGGAACCCAGTTGGTGCAGGCACTGTGTCTGTTGTGCATTTCATGAGCTGAATACAATGTTGGCACCTTGATGGGAAGTGCTGGGCTTGGTAAAATGGACTCAGCTGTGCTCCTCTCTGCCTTGCTTCCTTTGCTGAATTAAATATTTTGCTCTAATGAAAAGTAATTAGTTTTCTAGCTCTTTATGCACAGTCATTGTTATTCAAAATACAATACCATGTTTCAGTCAATTACAGCACAACACTGCATTTACGTGAATGTTTTATTCAGGATCAAGGTTGAGCTTTCAGAGCAAATCTCATCTTCTTCATTTTCTGTGCATGCCTTTTAGATGAAACTAAACCGCAATATTCACTCTGGAAATACATCCAATTTGTTCCAGGTGCTAATGGAGGTTCAATACTTGGGACCAGACTAACGATAGTCTAAAATAACACCTCCTCTCCTAGTATATATGGCTGGACGTGGTGTCCTCAGTTCCAGATAGTTTCCCTGCCATGATGCTGTTCTTTGGGCCCTTCTCTTTGTTGATACAGACATTGCCAGTGTGACAGCCAAAGAACTGTCTCTAAATGAACTTGCTTCGAACGCCCTGGTAACTATGCAGTCAAGCCTGCTAAAGGTATTTAAGCATCTTTACCAGGTTACTGCATAATAGCTGTAGTAGGGCTGTAAAATGCATGAGATTAAGCAGCACTCTGGTGTTGTGGTGTTGTCATTGTTTAAGGAGTTTGGTGCTGAACAAAATCAGTCTTCAGCCCCATTAGCTAAAGTCCTGCTATTTTCTGCTTGAAGGGCTGGAAATGTTGAAGGCAGGGCATTGAACTTTATGGTCATGCTGAACAGTTGTTCTTGGAAAGATCAGTTAGAAATTAATTAGTGTCTGATGTAAAAGACTAAATTGGAAAAGCCCAACTGATGAGTTTACCACGGTAATTAATTGTAGAATTTAACTCACTGTTCATAATTGAAAAGATGGTTAGTTTTTACATCACCCTTTATAAAG